CATTCTGTAGCACAAGAAACGGAACCAAGATCGTTACGAAAGGCATGGTGGATTTCAAAGCCATCAAGTCATGACGACAACTCGTTGATCCGAACCTGAAGAAGCAACAACCAGGAACCTTCCCTTGTTCCTGATAACCTTGCTGTGGATGACAAAATCACAGGAAATATTCAATCTGCCAAGCCTTTGCCACATATCAATCAAGGTAGAGACATATAGAGCTCAGACCGGACTTATGCAATGTCATAACTGTCAACAATTTGGCCACGTCTGGGCTAACTGCAAGCAACCTCCCCGCTGTTTATCATGCGGAGGCAGCCACCTGCATAAGGAATGCCCAGAGAAGGGAAACGCTGCTTCCACCCCAACATGCTGCAACTGCTGGTTGGCAGAAGGAGACAAGCCACATCCTGCCAACTATCGAGGTTGCAGACATGCCAGGGAAGAGCTGCAAATAAGGAAGGTGAAGAGAACACCGAAAACTGCTACAGAGAGGGTGTTCTCATTGGACCTTGTCACCCCAGGCATGTCCTTTGTGGTGTCACTACAAGGCAACGCAGAACAACAGCGACCACAGACAAACCCCACTCCAATGGTTTGCCCTACAGTAACAAAACAACAAAATATACCAGACCCTGCACTACAAAAAGAAACAGGTCAGTCAGTTCAGGCTCCTCATGCAAACAGTCAACCTCTCGACAATATGTTGAGAGTTGTGACTGCAGTACAGCAGAACATGACAGAGTTCAATGATGAAGTGCCTGAGGAGAACAAAATAATGGCCATTACAAAAATTGTATTAAATCTCATGAAACAAAATGGCCACTAGAGTTCATAGGCCCCTTAAAGTCATAGCAATCAATGCGAACGGCATTTGGAGGCAGCGCTATGAGCTCAGTAAACAGCTGCAAGATCTACACTTAGATGTGGCCCTGTTTTCAGACACACCTGAAACCTCATGAGAGATTCTTTCTTCTAAATTACCACATTTATAGAACCAACCACCACTGGGGCAGGAAAGGCGGAACTGCCATTGCAGTTAGAAAAGGCATTCCCCATATCATGTAGACCTACCACCCCTTGTTTCAGTAGAAGTGACAGGGGTCTGCATACCAATTGGTAACAGTGAACTATCACTGAGCTCTTAAGCTTTGGACGTAAGTCTATTTTGGCAGATGATTTTAATGCTAAGCACCCATTTTGGAATAGCAGAGTTTCAAACCCTTCAGGCGAGAAACTCGTGGATTTGTTTGATATGAGTGAATTTGAAGTTTCAGCACCAAAGTGCCCCACTCATTATTCCCCTGCAGGAAATGGTGACGTGCTGGATATTGTGGTCCACCAAAATATTAGAATGTCAGATGTCATCGTCTCCAATATTTTGGATTCAAATCACCTACCAATAGTATTCCAACCTCTTTATTACAACCGTCACAACACAACAAATATCAAGATCAGTGCCTAGTTTCGACTCTGCTACATGTTTCGGCTATCAATAGCCATCATCAGGCAAATACACAGTTAACATATTGTGACATGTTGACCCCTACCTCCCTAGCGGCACGTAGTGGTAACGTAGCGCTCGCGTAAGAGGCGCGTCATCACCCCGCCACTCTCCCCACGGTGACGTCACGAGCGGAGCCGAAG